CCCCAAAACCCCAAAACCCCAAAACCCCAATTTCCCATATAGCAGAATATATTTTAGCTGAAATAATAATCAAATATGCTTAATTCCATAAGATCCATATTTTCCACCATAAATATTTTGCTCTTTATCTTCTACCTTTTTCCCATGTATTTGGATAAAGCCTTTTACCTCTTTTTTCTTCATAGTTATATTAAAATTAGTCGGTGCCATTTTAGTCATTGGAGTATCTCCTGACCCTCTTCTTGAAGTGAGGGGTCTCTAAAAAGAGCTGAATTATTAAGTTGATGAAAAGTTTTCTCCTATCTATATAGTGTGCTTTCCGTGATATTTATAATCCTCATTTTTTAAAGCAGTTTTAGGCCTTGACTTTAGAAGTTTTGTTATACTCTCTTAATGAATATCTTTACTCTCTATCTCCATACCTCCAATAAGATCTAGATCAATATTCATAGCATTTATTGACTAAAGATGCTTGAGATTCTTTAAATTTTGATCCAGATTGACATTTGACTTGAGAACATATCCTTTTCGCTATCTCTTAAGCCTTAATTATTGAATTTTATTCAATTAGTACTATCTTCCACTCAAGTGAAAGAGAGCTTAATTTGCATAGTATTGCTGATTTCTATTCTCGTAAAATGGATTTCTTTCCATGATTTATTAATGCAAAGCATTCGGATCAATACCACTATACATAAATTACCGTGCTGATTTAATGGTAGAAGTGTAATTTGTTGATGTCCTTTCAGTATTGTTCCAGAAATCATTAATCATATTTTATTTTACTCTTGATTTTTACGCAGATTAGAGTCTTGCTTATTTTAGCTTAGGTTTGAACTCCTTGATATCGAGTTCTTAATGATTCTAATCTAGGAAATAAATCCTTGGGGCTCTTCTAATTCTTTTTTCAATTTCCTCATTCTGAAAAGTTTGTTTTGTTTAAAGATTTATAATCCTTTACTCTTTAGGAGAAGATGATTGGTTTTGCATCTATGGAGGTTTAATTTTATTGACATTACTTTATATATTGGATTTATAATTCATATGAACTCTTATATTGTTATCTCTTGCAATCAGAGACTCATTTTTACTTATTTCTTGGCTACTTTACTTGTGAGCAAGTATAGTTTAGTAATGATTAAGAGTTATCTATTGAAGATGATCATTAGGATCGACAGATTGTTGTTAATATAAAACATCATTTCTTTAGCTAGTATTTTGAGAAATTTTTCTTATCTAAGTGTTCTAATCAACTTAAATGTTTAGATTTTTCTGATTGTCTATAAAGCTCTCTTTTATATCACTATGCGATTGCTCATTCAAATCTTATACTCTTAATATTCTTCTTTAGGGAGCATTCTATTCTGATTATAAATTTAGAATACCCTGATCTTGGTTAGCTGATTTTATACGATTTAGCAAAGGCTCCTTTGTAAAATTGTTATTTGGTGTTTAGATATGATATACATCAGAGGCGCTAAATGAATCTATCGAGGTGACATTGCTTTGAAGTTATTTTATCAAATGAGGATGTGGGAGATTAAAACCCTCATTTGGTATTTGAATAGTATTATTGTTTGAATTTTCCTTTTCAATAAGCCTTGTTCCATTATTAATAGATCTTTCCCTTTGACTAATTTAAGAGTGAGTTCTTTAGTGATTGATAATTACATGGGTCTTCTTAAATTCCTTCTTGCTGCATTTTTGCTTTAGTTTACATGGGGAATTCATAGCACTTTAAGATCGAGTTAATGATGGCTTAACTTAACTACCTGTCATTAGTAATGCCTCTTTTTGCTATGTTATGAAAAAATCAGTTTGCTATTGCTACATTTGCAGTCTCTTTTATCTCTCTAGCATTTTGAAATAAGTGTATAGATTAAGATCAGGAATAGATGAAGTTGAACCATTTGATCTTAGGAAAGCTGTTTTAGGTCTAGTCTTGTTCGTATTCGAATCAGTTGACTATACTGATGCACCTCTTTCAGTTAAAGCAGGCTACTAAATATTGTGAATCTAGATCGTCTTTTCATATAAGTCGTGATCCAACTTCTCATACAACCACTATTCTCTTTCTCCTACTTATTCGACTGGTTTAGGTACTTAAATTAATTTATTCCTTATTTGCTTCTCTGATGCTTACTTCTTGAGTAGTAGACCTTTTGACATAAAAGCACCTTTAATCAATTTTTAATCGTTGTTGCTTGCCGAACCTTTGTTATCCATCATCATATTTAAAGTTGGTGTCATCCTTTGTTAAGGCCCGAATTAAACCTACTTCCCATCTGATAAGTATTTATGAAGTATTTTAATTACCATCTATAGAAATGATAACATCTTTCGATTCATCATCTGATTCTTAATCCTCCCTGTTATTCTGCAAAACGATCTTTCTATTAGTTGCAAGGATATTTTTCAAGAATTATATTTCAGGGTCATTTTCATCATAAAATGAGCTATTTGTCAGTTTCTTTTGCATTAATTTGTGCAAATCTTCTTTAGTTTCTAGCTCTTCTTCATTTTATAATCTAAATTGCTCTAAAATAAATAAATAATGAGAAATGAAATGACATACTTAGAAACTCAACGATGTTAGAATGCTTTTACTTTTTATAGTAATCTATTTCCTCAGTATCAACATTCCCTAAGGGCTTATTGCTTTGTCTATAAAACTTGTTATCATTGAACAATTTATCAAGTTATTCTTTGGCAACTCCATTTGGATTATGTTCAGCTGTTACCTGCATTAGTATCTTGACATTTTTGTTGCTCATTAGACTAAGTTATCTCTAATTGAACTAACTTTTTGTTTTATTCATCAATGTATCCTCCTCAACAATATCATTAACTATTCTTATTTTTAGCAACTCCTTCTTGATCTTAAACAATTTCTCCTAATCTACAGTTGCTAGAGGCTTTAATAGAGGAAATTTATTGATAATTTTTTTGAGAAGGAAGTACTTCACGAAGTCATTATTAGTGTACTTAATTCCATGCTAATGGATATCAGTTTAATATGTTCCAGGCTTGAGTTCAGATTTCTAATACTTAGGCATCATAATCTTAGTTGCTTCTCTAGCTGTCATCGGCCTTCGAGTTAGGGATGATCCTCTTTGCGAATTTAGTAGATTCAAGATAGTTTTCGATTCATCGATTTGGATTTAAGGACAGGTTGAAATCTTGATTTCTTTTAACTGTGGCCAATGAGCTCTATTTTCTTTGTGCCTGTATAATATTACATTGAAGTAGAAATAATCTTACAAATTAGGTTATGTTTGATTCCTTAAGGTTTCATTCATCATTGCTAATTGGACTATATCAGACTTATCTCCCATAAGCAACCCATCTGAAATCATTTCATTCATGTTCTAGCAAAATAGTAAAATTCATTAGTTAACTTACCTACATATCTTTTTTAGATTTCTTTTCAAATTATCTCTACAGATTTTTGTGTTTCTGCTTCAATAACTATTTATGGTTGCCGATGTTAATATTTGGTTCTGAAAGTCGCCTAGTTAAGGATTAAATGTTTTGCAGTTAATGCTTATTGAGCATTATCTTATCGTTTTAATTGGGCCTGTATTCATAATTGCTCTATTTTAGCACAGCCTAAATATCAAACTAATCTTATTTCAAGCTCTATTGCCCTATTTTCTATGAAACTACCTCAGTATTAATTTAGTTCCTTCTTGGTGAAACTAGAAGAGTTCTTATATTTCTAGTATTATTACTATGATTGAGATCTTTTGAGGCTTTGCTTGTATTATTAAATGAATTCACATGAAAATCAAATGGCTTTTAATCTAACTGCTAGTATTCTGGAGTGCTTGAAGTTGGAACATATAGTTCTTTTTATAGGGCAGGGTTGTCAATAATGTTGAGAGTTAAAGTGGTTTTTGATTTTTCTTTTTTAATTATTTCTTTAGGCTACTTATGTCTCTCAGGTATCTCTGTTATTACTCTTTCCTTATAAGAGATTTCTTATTCAGAGGTTTTCATTATTATTGAAAAAGTTAAATTAAAAAATTATTCTGAATGTCTCATCGAGTAATCAAGGTGTGAAGCGACTAGGTCAGATAAGAAATAAATAAAAATAAAATTGA